GTAATTGTTTTTCATGCGAAAATAAAAATTTTGCCACGAGAGAATATTGATGCCTTTCATAGAATAAAGTTTATGGTAAACCATATGCAAATTTTGTAATTTGTGCATACTAAAAAGGTACGATTTTTTTAGACCTTGTAAAATGCTGACCAGTAACTCTTTTAAAAAGTTATCGTTACAAAAGTTTTAATAAATACTGAAATATAAGCCGTTTGAATATGATTGCTTTATGTGCATAAATAAAAAAAAAAGTACCCAAAAATTCAAAATAGTGGAGGTTCATTCAGTTTTCCATGACAACCATTCTTGTTTTCAATCCTTTTTGCTGTTTAAGACTTACTTTCATGTGCTAAATATGTTAAAAGTATTTAAAATATTTTAGATCTTAAATTGTAAAAAAAAGAAATAAACTAAGCCTATCTTCTTAACGATAAGTATTCCCGTATGGATGCATAATTAATTATTCGTTTTTTTCTTTTAAATTAGCATATCATAGAACCCGTACTTTATAGCTTAGAACAATTTTCTAACGTAATAATGTGGCTGTCTTTTATGCATTACTACGCGTTTCTTATAACGTTGTTTCCCCAAAAAACAATAATTATGAAGGTGTGGCGCCTTGGCACGGTGTTGTCCGCCCCATACTTTCACATGAGAACTATACCGCCTTCGTTGTTTTGAAAATAATTCAATGAACTTTTTTTTACTCCAACACTTTTATTTTAAAAACTTATATTAATTCAAAATGTAGTGGTATTCTAAACTGTTTATGGGTAGTGTAGATTTCAATAGGGCTGGTAAATAGGTCACCAACCAGTTCTACGTCTCAATAAAACTTAGATGAGCCATAGAACTGGTTGGTAACCTACTTACCAGCCCTATTAGGTCAACTACCAGTTCATGAAATTACATTCATATATAATGCTGTTACAAAAAGTTCTAATTTTGACTTTGTCATTCTATGTTGCCTATCATAAATATAGATTTCAAGGTACGGGGTCTCATAAAATAAAATAAATACTATTATTTTTGTTTTTCTCTACAGAAATGTATTAACCGCCGAGACAACATTTAGTATGTATACTTTGTTTTCGTTACGTATATCCATCAAAATATAAGTTATTATGTCTTTAAAAAAAATACTTCACGACCTAATATTTTCAACAAAATATCAAAACACTTCTTATAGAACATGTTTTTACATTATCTTGAACAAAGCAATTTATGTCAACTAGTGTTTAAATACATTATGTAACTAATTTATTCATGCTGATCAGGATGCATTAATAAAATACATGATTTATCTATAAACAAAATAATTCAGGGCAAACGGATGAAGTCTACAACACTATCGACGACATAGAGACCTCGATGAATAATGATCAAGAAGAAGAAGGGAGGTGTTATTTTGTAGATAGCAGTGGGTGCGATCAGAAGAATGATGCTATAAATGGTGATGTAAACGCCCCATGTCTACCACCACGACCAACGGAAAAACAATACATTGAACTAGCACTTGTACCGATCGGAAACAGTGAGAGAATTCTACGTGGAGATGCTACACCAATTGCTAACAAATCAAATGAAAATATTCCTTATACTTCAGCCGCGATAGACATTAACTCGGCTGCAATACAAACATCGTGCCCAAATGCAGATAGTCCTTCAATTTCTGATGATTCTTTATTTAACAGAAGTTTACACAGACTAACAGTTTCAAGTGAAAATAAATCTACAGATGGAACAAGACATCAAGCCATGCAAATTGAAGAACAGACAAATGTAAAGGTTGTCAACGCTTATTCTGCGACAGATTGCGATGGTTTTAAAGATGAGCATACGTATTTACCATTTGTACAAGATCAAAAATGGGAAGCAGACGTTGGCAAGCATGACTCAGGTGACCTCGATCATGAAAATAAAATGGCACCAACGAAGCATTTAATGGCAAAAATAGATTGGACTAAGCCAGAGAACTGTGTTACCACACCCTCTGTGAGTTGCCAAAGAATTGGGAGAGAAAATCTTTTATCAGAAACAAATATGGATCTTTCAAGTGCATCACTCCATAATCGTTACAGTAGACAAGTGGAGAGGATGGAAGACGATGACTATTTAATGCCCACACATATGGAATACGAGGATGTTTCTTCCCCAGCAAACACAAGTGAAAGTGACGAGAATCTTGA